CCAAATACGCCATTAATAATTGTACATTTAACTAGTGCATAATTATTACGGTGTTCACATGACTGGCGTACATGACTAGTAATACAAGTAATATTTGCCGTTCCTTTGACTTGTATCACATTTACCGACAATCCTCGGGAATGGCACCAATGACAACTGTACAAGTATGTCGATCCGACGGCATGGCAAGTAACCATCACCAGCACCAAATATTGACGAAGTACACCAGTCGTGGGACTCTGTTTATTCTATAATATTGTTATATTATTATTATTATAATTAATATATATTATCATATGTATTGCTCTGTAATACACTCTAAAGTCTAAAGAATAAATATTATATTATAATATGTAGGTACATGGGCGCCGGGTTTTCCAATTTTCATGGGGTGCTCAAAATCCTAAATTATTTAACTTGTACCTAATAAAAAAAAAATCAACAAAGAGTGATAGAAACATGATAAACAATGCGTGTAGGTACCCAAAGCCGCGCTAACGCTAACCGCGAATTCCTTATGCTCAGCAGTACTTTTTTATAATCATATATATTATATTATATTTTAACAATATTATAGTAATAGTTAAGACTATAATAATTAAAACCCATAATAATAAAAGAAAAAAACACAATAAAAATAAATTATTAAATTATTATTAGTACCTAATACAATTTTTTTAAATTGTATTTTAATATTATAATATATAAATAATTATGCATTTATTATAGATAATTTACAAATTTGTTATAAACGGTATTATATAATACGCACTGCAATGAAAATTATATGAAATTAGAATATTATAAATTTAATCAACTTTAAATTATAGTCTGCTTCTAAGATAAACATAAAATATTATTTTAAATTATTAATTTTAGATTTCTATAATATTTTAAAGAGATTAAAATTAAAATATTATAAAATAAAATATGGTAATAATATTGTTAGAATAATGTTATTTAAAATTAAAATATAAATATGATAATAACATTTTAATTTAGTTAGAACTTAAATATTATAAAACTAATACAATGATATCATTAATAAAATATTTTGATTATAATATTATATTTTTAAACTTCATAAAATATTTAGTCAACTTTATAAATATAATATTAAAAATTAAATTTACTTTTAAAGTTATAATAATATTGATATTCTATAATTGCTGTCTGGGTTATTGTTGTCACATTTTGCCCAGAGGTTTTGCCATTCATCCATGTCCTTCAATTTGGTTGAGTTTAACAACTCTGTCAGATATGAGGGGACATACTTCAAAAGCGGAGGTACCTGTTGTTTCTTTTGCTTTTAGATCAGCTTCTTCGTTACCTCTTATTCCGACGTGTCCCGGGATCCATGCAAGTGATATACTATTTTTACGCTCATTTAGTTCATTGATTATACGGCAGATAACTGGTTGAGACGTATTTAAATTTTATATGCTGATTAAATTGCTTAGAGAATTTGTCATTAATAGATATTTCTTATCGTTAGTGTAATGAATGCTTTGAATCGCTGTGAGTATCGCTAGGGCTTCTACGGTACAAATACTACATACTTCATTAGTTCTTAATTGGATGTTTATATCATTTGATATTATGGCTAGTCCAGATTTCTGATCGATTTTCGACGCGTTGGTGTATATCTGTATGTATTCCGGGTACGATTGCAGAAGTTCGTAATGAAGACCTTTATAAATATTCTTGTCAGTTGTGTTTTTGTTGTATAGTGATAAGCTTAGGTCTATTATACTTTTATTAAAGCGCCAAGGGGGTACGTTTAATACAGTGCTTTGAATTGTATTGTTAATCTCGGTTTCGTTTTTAGTAATGAAACCTTGTTGTCTTTCATAAATTGCTCTTAGATGCGGTGCATTAATAGACTTGGCCTGGTACCTTTTCTTAAAGATTTTGTTGTACACTGGATTCTCTTGGTGTTTGGCTATTTTTAGTATGTACTTGGTTTCGAGCTGTTTTCTCCTTAAATAAAGAGGTGGTTCTCCAGCCATACTCAGTATGCTTGGGACTGGACTGCTTTTAAATGCACCTAAAGATAAGCGAATGGCGAAATTCTGTATTGTATTTAGCATTTGTAAAGTTCTATGATTAGCCTCGCCGTAGACCATTGAACCGTAATCAATTTTAGATATAATTAAGGATTTATATATTTTAATTAGGCTGTCTGCATCGGATCCCCATTCAGTGTGAGCTAATGTTTTTATAATTTTTATTGATTTGAGCGTACGTATTCTTAACTGTTAGATGTGTTGGCACCAGTTGAGTTTATTATCGAATGTTAACCCAAGAATTTTAACATTGTCGCAGTAGTCGAGTGTTGTCTTTTCAAATTGAATTATTGGTTTGGAAATTTTTTTTGGCGGGTGAATAGTATACATTTTGTCTTGTTCGGCGAAAAAGTGAAACCAGTTTTGAGGCTCCATTTACTTAACTTGTCAAGTGTAAGTTGAATTTAATTTTTTATAGAATTCGTGTTTTTTCCTTTACAATATATAAGTGCATCATCAGCGAAAAGTTTAATCACCGTGGGTTTAGGCACTTGAGTTGCCATTTCATTAATTGAGATAAGGAATAATGTTACACTAATAGTTGATCCTTGTACTACGCCATTATGGTTAGAGAACGGTTCGGATAAAGTATTTTTAATTTTTGTTTGAAATGTTCTATCGTAAATATGGTTTTTAATAAATTTGAGCATGTTTCCGTGAATGTCGTATTGTTGCATAATTTTTAACACCCTGTGTCTCCAAACAGTGTCGTAAGCTTTTTTTAGATCGAGGCTGACTAGTATTACATTTTGATTGTTGATTAATGCGTCACTGATATCAGTTTGTAAGGTTACTAGTATATCGTTAGTAGATCTATTTTTACGAAAACCGTGTTGATGCGGTAACAGTAATTTATGTTTTTCAAGATACCATATGAGTCCATGATTAACCATCTTTTCTATTATTTTACTCATAGTGTTAAGTAATGATATGGGACGGTAACCTTCGGTGGTGTGCTGGTCTTGCCCATTTTTCGGTATAGGCACGACTATTGCTTGTTTTCAGTTGTTAGGGAAGTTTCCTTGCACCCATAGTTTATTGTATATTTTTAGTAAAATTTCTTTAGCTTTGATTGGCAAATTTTGAATAAAAACGAACGGAATATCATCGGGTCCGCAACTTTTGCTTTTCATTTGATTCAAACTGTTGTTAAATTCAGATAAGTTAAATATATCATTTAGCGCTATACAGTCGTTATTAATATTTTTGTTTGGATCGTATATTATTGGATTATTTTGTTCATATATATTTTTAATTGCGATGAATTCGTCATTGAGTTGTTCATTACTACTATTTGATTGGAATTGTTCTCCTAGTTTATTAGCTACTTCAAACGGTTCCGTAACTATTACGCCGTCATTAATAAGTATTTTTATTTTCTGTGATGGTGAACCTTTGAATTTTTTAATCTTTGTCCGTAACTCTTTGGAGCTGGTTTGAGATGAAATGGATGTAGTGAAATTACGCCAAGAATTTGTTTTGCTGGTCTTAAGCATATTGCGAGCTTTGGCTTGGATTTTTTTGAATCCTATAAGATCGCGTAGGTTGTTATTTTTTTTAAATTTGTTAAAAGCTTTTTTTATTTCTTTCATTATACTGTCACAATCTGCGTTCCACCACGGAACTGGAGAACGTTTTCTTGTGTATTGTGTTTTACCTATAGCTGAGTGAGCCGAGAGAATTATAGCATTGGTAAATGTTGCGACATCATCATTTATATTAGAATTGTAGGTTATTGAATTGGTTATATTTTCTATTTCGTTATTAAATGCTTCGGAGTACTTTTGCCAGTTGGCATTTTTCAGTCTCTATCTGTTATTTGTTTCAACTGGATTTAGGTTATTGTCAAATTTGATGTCTATGGTTATGGGCCAGTGGTCACTAGAGTGTATTTCATCGAGTACCTCCCATTCTAAATAAGTAGCTATATTAGAGCTTGCGATGGATAAGTCAATTGCCGAGGTTTTGCCATTGTACTGGTTGAAATGGGTGGTCTGCCCATTATTCAATAGAATTAATTCGTCGTTGTCTAATATATTTTCGAACAATTTACCTCTGCTGTCGGTTTTTTCGGAGCCCCACATAGTGTTGTGGGCATTTATGTCCCCGAGCAAAATAAACGGAGCGGGTAGTTGGTTTATTATCTGTATTATATCTTGTTTATTGATATCCTGGCTGTTAGGCAAATATAAATTACAGATGGTAATATGTTTTTTCAATGTGATTTTTGTGGCTGTAACTTTTAGTTTAAAATTAATATGTATGAGTACGAATGGGTAAGATGTATGTACAAAGATAGCGGCACCTCCGCTAGCCTTATTGCTGTGTTCGCAATTTTTGTGATACCTGTGCGTCGGCTGCACATCAAGCCGGATGACGCGTGTAGGCGTGTGCGTGCGCTGAAGGCTGCCTACAAGTGTCGGGTCGTGTGTCACTTACCTACTCGTCGCTGGCCTGTCGATAACCCTGTAGGAGAGGGAGAGTGGACTGTATAGGATCTGTTTCGGGAATAAGACAATTAAAGAGTGAAGGTGATGGCTGAAAGCTTATCAACAATAACAATATTTGCAGTATGAAAGGTACGGGATAATTTATTACAAAATGCTGCAGAAAATGAGACTTAAAATTAATGTTAGTAAACACGCGATCACAAACCGATCGGTGAGATAATATAAACTTTGACAACATACGATAACCGTGTGTACGACCCTCTGAGTAATAATAATATAGAGATGGCACTACGTATATTACGCTATACAAGCATAATGCAGCGATATTTATCACACGAACACCGCATCCGATAAACTATACCGTTAGATGGCGCTGTTGTCATGACAACAAATTTCAATGATAATAATTGATATTAGAAATCATTTCTATTTCATAATTAAAATAATTAATATAAATATATAATTAATAATTAATTTAATTAAAATGCCGAGTTGTTGCTTTTGTGGAAGGTGGCAAGTAGCCAAAGAAAAAAACGAAGGCATAACTTTTCATAAGTAAGTTAACTACATACATTAAATAAATTGAAATTTGTATGCCATTGTTTGATAAATGATTTTAATGATATTAGATTACAATAAGTATTATAATATATCTATTATAATTATTGTTATATACCTATTTATTTATTACATCCAAGCATACACATACAATGTAAAATAACAATTAAAAAATTTAAAATTGTTTTATGTATTAGATTTCCAAAAGAGAATCCTACATTAGCAGCTTGGTTGAACTTTGCAAAACAATGTTCATCAGAAGTCAAACCTAGGAGTGTAGTGTGTTCTGTTCATTTTACAGAAGACTGTTTTGATCGTTTTTTACGGAGTGTTCGTTTAAAAAAACTAGCTATCCCAACAATAATGATACAAAGAGTTAAGAATGTATGTAAAAACGTCTTTGTTTTGTTTTTAGTTAAATAATAATATAATAGTATATTTCAGGCTAAGACATCATATCCTGAAATTTTGATGCCATTAGATCAGTGTAACCAATCAATGGAACGTTATGTTAAAATAATGTTTAACTGTATATATATTTTACTGTATTCTATTAATATTTGATATTATTCCTAATATTATAATTATTGTTTATAATTTAGGTAACAGATGTAGAATCGAATATAGAAGGAGTTGAACAAATTCATTTTGATAATGTAGACAGTGTAGACAGTGATATTTCTTCAAAAGATAATGTTGATACTTTTGCAGTGAAAAAACCAGATAAAATGGTGTGTATACCTGCATAGATATATGGGGAAAAAATTATAAAAATTGTTTTTGATTCCTGTTCTTGTTTTTCTAGAAACCAAGAATGAATAATCAGAAAGATAATATATGTCAGACTGATATTAATGATTCACCAGGACGATTAATTTTAAAACGAAAAATTAATAATTATGCTCATAAACTCAATTTAAAAAATAAAAGAATCAAATATTTAAATCAAAAAGTTCAACGCCAACAAAAGTCAATTTCCTCGCTGAAGAATGTAATTGCGGTTTTAAAAGACAATAATCTTTTACATCAGGATAATGCTAACCTTCTTTCTGAATGTTTTGGTAAAAACAATTATTTAATTAGTAAATTGTATAAAAAAAATTTGGGTAAAAAGCTTCCACGCAAATATTCAGCAGATTTAAGACGCTTTGCTCTTTCGCTTCATTTTCATTCTTGTAAAGCTTATGATTTTGTGCGCAAAGAATTTGATACAATTTTACCCCACCCAAGGACATTAAGCAAATGGTATACAAACACTGAAGCTAGTCCCGGCTTTACTAAAGAATCACTTGACACTTTAACTTTAAAATGTAAAAACGCTGACCATACAATATATTGTGCTTTAGTATAAGATGAAATGGCAATCCGCCAACATATTGAATGGGATGGTAGTAATTATCACGGATATGTGAATTTTGGTATTGATGTAGATAGTGATCAATTAGATATAGCAAATGAATGCCTTGTTTTTATGCTTGTAGCTATAAACAAAAGATGGAAACTACCTGTTGGATATTTTCTTTGTAAACATCTTAATAGTACACAAAAATCTAATCTACTTTCTCAATGCTTAGACTTAGTTTATAAAACTGGTGTTGTTGTTGTAAGTGTTACTTTTGATGGATGTTCTTCCAATATTGGTATGACAAAAAATCTTGGCTGCTCATATGATCCTAATAATTTTAAAACTAATTTTACAATTAATAACATACAACCTATTGTAATTTTACCTGATCCTTCACATATGATAAAATTAGTAGTAAATTGTTAGTTGTAAATAAAACTTTAAATTTCTTTGTGTTTAATTCAAAAATATTTGAGTCTATTAAACCTCATAATTTTGATTTTGAACCTGAAACTAACCATGTTATATTATTAATGAAATCAATAATTAATTCATATTTTAATTTGCAAATTAACTATTTATCTAAAAAAATATCTGAGACAGAATCCCTAAGAAATTGGTATAATAAACTTGTATTATTCAAAGGACAATAATTAATAATTTTATAAATATTTACATTAAGAGGATGCTATACCTTCTATATTCCTACATTTTATTATATTCATTTTTTATTTTTATTTTATGTTATACCTACTATTATATGATTATTATTACTCTGTACTACCTATGTACCTACTTAATTTTAAAAATATAATTACAGCTAAAACAAAAATAAAATAGTTGTTAAACTATAATTTATATTAAGTATTCGTGTTTCACTAATTATTTTAATAAATTGAAATATATTAAAGTATACAATATTACAATGTGAGTGTACACAATATTATTATGTGTGTATTTATTTTAATGTGACATGGACACAGTAGTTTTTATTCGTAAAAGTGGTCGCACTGAAGGAACACCGTTGTCGCTGCATTATCTAATGTTCATGGCCACCCCTTGGATATCATACTGGCAAGTTGCCAGTGGCAACACTGCGCTACCGATTTGCGACATAGGTACTTATTTATGATTATGATATTGATTATCAAGTAATGATTAACGGTTGACGGTTGTGTAAACATAATAAAATTCGACTTGTATTGTTGTGTTCTTACTTCTTAGATCATATTCTGATTGATAATAATTATAATAATATTATATTTTATTTGATATTATTTATGGTTGTGAATTATGACAATATATTTTGATAAAACTGTTTGCTTCACGGTTTAAGATACACTTAAACCGCGGTTTGCTTATAATTTATATCACGATATTCAAAAGTAAGACTATTGTTATCTATTATTTTTGGTTGTGTGATACTGTGATAACTGATAGTGTGTTAAATTAAAATCTGCAAATTTGTAATAACGAATTTACGAATATAATAAAATAAAATAAAAAATTCTAATTTGTCAATTTAACGTTTGCCNTATTTTTAATTATTAAGTTTTTATGTTTTATAGGAAAAAATTGAAACTAAATGTAATGAACCCAAACTAACAATTCTTTATAAAGATGGAAGATTGTATGCTTTAAAGAAACAGAAAAGTAAATAGTAAATAGTAAATAGTCATATTATTTTCTAAATTAATTAATAATGGTTTTAATTATAATGTAATAGCAGTTATACGCAGAATAGTGTAAGATGGCAGCCAAACTCAATGTCAATGTCAACAATAATATTCAAGACAAAATGTTGTATGTTACATCATACAATAGATGATTGGACGCTGTCTGCTCTTGGAGCTATGGATCCGAAAGATTGTCAATCTATATTTATGAATTATTAATTTTATAATTACATAAATAATGAATTTTCAAATACAAAATTGTTTTTGTTATTAGAATAAATTAAATATTACATGTTAGTAAAATGTTTTAAGTTAATAAAGCGCATATTTAATTATTTTATATTAGATTTATATTTTGTATTTTCTTGACCTATTATTTCCTTTCTAGATAATCAAAGAATAAAAAAAATATATTTAAATTATGAATAAAAATTAAGAATTTTTTATTATTTTTCATAAGACATATTATCACTGTTTACCTACATAAAAAAATATGAATAATATTAATACAAATATACAATTGTGGAAATTAATTTTGTAAAATAATATTAGCTCATTTTCAATTCTTATAACATCATGGTAATCCTAAACATATTATTACATACAATATTTTTATTGGATCTTGTATTTATCTTTTATTTACAGTACTAAAATTTTCCTAATAAAAGTTTTATAAATAGCTATATATAATTACATGAGAGTTACAATCATACCATAATGACAGGCAACTTTGATCAAGTATACAGTATAGTATTAAACAAAAAATAGAGTTTCCTATTTTATTTTAACTTTATGTTCAAAATGGCGATTAATTGTGATATATGCAAAGAAGAATTTTCGACCAAGTCTTCATTGACCAGACATCTTTTAAATAAACACAATGCAAGTAGTGAAACAAAAAAAAAAGTGTTAACTAAATGTATATCTTGTATGGACAAAACATTTTCAAAAAAAAAATTGCTTATTGAACATCTAAATACACAACATGGAATGTGTATAAAAGAAGAAATAATGCACTTTTCTAGTGTATCAGGTAACACCATGACATAATATAATGTTTATTTATTTATTAAATGTACTAAAAAATATTTAATGTGTAATTTAATTTTTACTTAATAAGTATAAATTCAGAAATTAAGAAAAATTCAAATTACCAACATATATTTTGGTAATATAAATGTAATTAATGCATTAAAGGACTAATTTTGAATTTCAGGAGTTCTTGATATAACTGGAAAATTAGAAGTAAATGATTTTTGTTTAATTATAATGGACCCTGGTCAAATGCACTTGCTACAAAAATTTGGACAAGGAAAAGTAGTATGTCTTGACGGGACCCACGGACTTAATGGATACGATTTTGAATTAGTTACCTTAATGGTTATAGATGACTTTGGTTCAGGGTTTCCATGTTGTTTTATGTATACTAATTTGAAAGATACAAAAATATATACTGTTATGTTCACAGTTATTCATGATGTCACAGGTATAATAAAACCCCAAACGTTTATGACTGATATCGTTGAAACTTTTTATTCGGCATGGGAAACTGTAATGGGTCCAGTTCCACATCGCATTTTTTGTTCATGGCATGTCGATAAAGCCTGGAGACAAAATTTAAATAAAATTATTGGACCTCAGCGTAAGGAAAAACAATCAACGGTTTATAAATCATTGAAAATGCTTCAAACAATATCTAGTGACACTGAATTCAAAAAAATTTTAACCAAATTTATTATTGAAATGATGAATGATCCTGAAACCAAAGATTTTGGAGTATATTTTGAACGAATGTATGCAAATAGAGCAACATTATGGGCATATTGTTACAGAAAAGGACTGGGAGTAAATTGCAATATGCATCTGGAATCAATGCATAAAACTATTAAGTATCATTACTTAAATGGATGTAAAATTGGAAGATTGGATAAAAGTATAATGACAATAAGACGATTCACACGTGATAAAAAAGTAGAAAGAATGATCAAATTGACAAAGGGTAAATCAACAACAAGAATACAGGAAATTAAAAAAAGACATGTAACCAGTATTTCACTTAATTTAAAAATTACCAAGAACGATGCAAATACCTGGAATGTAGATAGTGAACATACACCAAGTAAATCTTATGTTGTTAAACAAATTAACGAGGAAATATGTTGTGTAATAGTTTGTAGTACATGTAAAATATGCATTCATACATTTGAATGCACTTGTTTAGATTACTCCATAAAATCAATTATTTGTAAGCATATTCATACTATTGCATTAAGTCAGGAAAATTATACAACAAACGTGGGAAAATCGGAATTAAATGAGAAAAATAAACATACAATAGATACACAAGAAATAGATATACACATGAAAACTTTAAAGAACACAAATGAAAATGAAAACTTGTATGAAATATTTAAAAAAAAAGCTATGAGTACAGTAAATAAAATCCATTTAATTGAAGATTCTGATCACCTTAAAGAAGCTATTAAAAAGATAGATGCTCTCAATGCATTTATTGAAGCAACATCAAAACAATCTGCACCAAGTAAAGAGTTCATTAAAATAAACAACGATCCACCTAATAAAAAAATAATTCATCAAAATAACTTTTTTTCTACAAAATCAAAGCGAAAAAAACCGGAAAACGATTTGTTTAAACCTTCTGAACTTGAAAGTAATGATCTACGTGACACCTTTTTAAACAAAAAATTAAAAATATTGCAGGAAAATGATGTGGAACATTCATATTTTAAAGAACACTAATTTATACATTTTAATTGATGAAGTCTAAAGACTGATTATTATTATTATTATTACTATTACTCAATTATTTTTTATGTATTATATTACAATTAAAACCGTTTTATACTTTTTAGGGACATTATATCAACACTATACATTTACTCTATATCTCGTTTATACATTTTAGTTGATGAAGTCTAAAGACTGATTATTATTATTATTACTCAATTATTTTTTATGTATTACATTATAATTAAAACCATTTTATACTTTTTAGGGACATTATATTAACACTATATTCTATCACTATTTCTATTATAATCTTCCATCTTTATAAAGAATTGTTAGTTTGGGTTCATTACATTTAGTTTCAATTTTTTCCTATAAAACATAAAAACTTAATAATTAAAAATATATAATAATATAAGTTTATAACATATTATTACCTGATACAAATTTAACAATATTATACATCATAATATAAGTCTATCAGTCTTGTTCACAGGCAGTGTAATGAAAAATAATCAACAGTTTATAAATCATTAAAAATGCTTATTTATTATTGAACTGATGAATGATCCTGAAACTAAAGACTTTAGACTATATTTCAAACAAATGTATGCAAATAGACCAACATTATGGTATATTTAATACAAGTAAATTCAAAATTGCAATATTATTTCATATTTGAACATAATTAAACGATTTTTAAAAGTTGTAATCATAGATATAAGATAAGATGGTTGTAATAACCTGATAACAGATAAGAGATTTCAATTTATGAAATGTCACTAGCGCATGCGCAAAACGGTCACGGTTCAGTTCTGTGTTTAGACGCTCCTATGGAGCGGTTGTCCCAAACGACGGCGACCATAGAAAATAGATAAAATAGAACGCCGACTTTATCGTATTTCTGATACCATAAAGTTAGTGCCACACTAGCGCAGCGAGTGATTCTCTTTAACAATCATCGATAATAATATCGATTAATCGATTATCGCGTTTAATCGATTATCGCGTTTAATCGATTATCGCATTCAATCGATTACTGTTATCGATATATAAATATTACTTAATTGATACATTTGAAAGTTTGAAACAAATGATCTCGGAACTTCGGAAGTTTAGACTTCGGTTAATTAATGTCGTAATTCGTTCAGAACAAAATAAATGGATAAATATTTAAACATATTTATTTTTTATAAATAAACAAAATTGTTATAAAATAAGACAATTTTTACATAAAATATACAAAGCTATTCAAAATATATAATACTAATATTATATTTTATTATTTTGTACAAAACTGGACAAATAAGGTGTGAAGTCCTCATAAGATCACAATAAATATACCTATCTTTTTCTATTATGTTTTAAAAAATATACATGAGCAGCTCGCTTTAAAGTATCACGGTTATCATAAGTTTGTCTGTCTATGCCTTTTAAAATACGATTTATATTTTTCACGTAAGTAAAAATAAATAAGTTTTTTATTTTTTGATATATAAAAATTTTTAAATTATGTTTTGGACAGTGTAAAGGAAAATCAATACTTTCAAACATTAATATTAATTGTTGTCCTATATGATACTGATTTAATTTTGGCTAAATGTAATTGGTCATAAAAAGCATCTGTTCAATTAGTTGTTGGAATTTTTTACTGGGATGCATTAGAGACTTTTGAGTAAAGTCTCTTATTCGGATTAAAGGATTATTTTTATCAATGCTTGTTAATTCAAATTTACATAATTTACAAAATTTGAATTCTTTTAGTACACTTCGTGCCAAATAACCACCAACATACCCTATGGTCATTTCAGAAATGGGTGACACATGAATGTCATATACTGTTTCTATTGAGTTATAAATAGGAAAATTAAATTCGTTTTCATGGGCAGATTTAGGCAACTTGGGTAAATTCAGGCCACTTTCAACAAACTGCTTTAAGTTATCTAAAGCCCCACCACTTTCATCATGCTCACAATTGCCTGCTGACTTAATTGATGTGAAGTTGTTAATTAGTAAAGTTTTAAGTGAACAATGGAATTGATAACAATCTGGTTTTGTGTTTCGTATACCATGACTCCGCACACTTCCAAATAAACACTCAAGGGGGTCTTGATTTACATGCCTTGTTAAAAAAAATTTAAAATTATTACTCTGTAACTTGGACCACAAGTATTTAAAAGATTTAAGTGTGGTGATCCAATTTTTTACACATGGAGGAACTGTCTTTTTCCCATTTGATTTATTGACAAATTTCATAGACTGAAAAGTATTTATTGCAGAATTCCAATGATGATGATGAGGAGAGTTTTCTTTAACTGCACTTCGTAACAGTTTTCCTGATTCTGGATTAATTGTCCTTGAATTAACAGAGTCAAATGTTTTGTCCATAAATAAACAAAACATAGCAGTGCCAATAGCATTTGAAAATCCACTTTCTTTTGGGGCTAAAAATATGTAAAACATTATATAATATAGTTAATTTAATTATTCAAATACTACTATGTATACATACCATTATCTGACAATAACTTCATTGTTGATGCAACTGTATGGCTAAGAACTTGAGCCGCAAAAGAAACTTTTATCTTGGTCTTTTCTATATTAATGTGACCATCGTGGAGCTTATTTAAGGTTCGAAGTTCAAAACTCTCATTTTTTTCATTTTTTCATTTGAGTCATTAAACGATAGGTTGACAGGGTTGGAAAATGACAATTGATTCAATGGTGTTTCTAAAAATAATTAATTGTTTAATAACTTGTGACAGTTTAGTTTGCACACTATTGATTTATACATACCATGATTTACATCGGATAAGGGTAAAGCCAAAGGTGAAGAACAGGTTGTATTTAAATATTCATTTGAGTCATTAAACGATAGGTTGACAGGGTTGGCAAATGACAATTGATTCAATGGTGTTTCTAAAAATAATTAATTGTTTAATAACTTGTGACAGTTTAGTTTGCACACTATCAATTTTTACACACCTTGATTTAAGCTGGATAAAGGTGAAGCCGAAGGTGACAGGCAGGTAACATCTACATATTCAATTGAATCATTGAGTGATAAGTTGCCACAGTTGATGATTTGACTAGTAGATGAATGATTTTTTGGTGTTGCTATAAAAAATTGTTCAAATAGGTTTATAAAAATATATGAATTAATCGTTATATTAATTGCTGCTTATTAAATATTATGAACATTTTAGTGAATAATTATTATTAAACTATTAGAACTGTATTCAAGTCACACACACACAAATTCAATTTGAATGATATTAAAACATTATTATATATAGGTACACATTTTTTAAAAATTAACAATTACATAAAACACTGAGTTAAAAATCTATCTACAAACTGTTAAGTAGACTTATAACATGATATTATATAACTTCCATAACATTTTTTTTATAGCACAAAAACATTGAATTCATTACTTACTAATTGCTAAAAGCGGATAAAAAAGCAACATTAAATAAATTTATAATTACCTTTACTAGAAGTTAGTGGTAGGTACCTTTATTACCTACGACACATGGAACATTTAAACTAAACTTTGTTATATACTACAAATAATTTTGTAGATTAAATCACAAGCACGAACATCAGATACAATCTCGGCACATATATTAACCACAATTTAAAATGGTAGTATAAATACTTGGCAATTTCAAACAAGGCAATGAGCCTTTTTTCAGTCGTGTAGTACCAAAACTGTAGCATTTACTGTCAAAGTGTCTACAGCAAACTAGGAATGTTTTCCTAATATATTCCTTTGTAAGACACTTTAACTTGTCATTCCCAGACAGCTGAACCCACGTCGCAAACTCACCGTCATCGATTGGAAAAACATGTTTTCGAACCGTACTCTCGCTATTACAGCCAAACACACAGCATTTATAAGAAGGCATTATTATTTATTAATAAAATAATATTTATAAATTATGGTCTGCTTAGTTTAATAAATAATTCAATAAACTTCGTGGAGTCAAAACCCCAAAAAAAAAACGAGAGTACAGGCGACAGCCAATGCCCAATTCTATAATTTATCAATTATCATTTATCATTTATCATAAAAGTATAGAAATACAACATAGGTAGATAACAGAATTCGATACTAGCGCAGCCATTGCATCTCTTTTGAGTTACACCAACACGGGCACTAGAACTACAAGTACGAGTCGACACGGCCTGACGGCGACCGGCAGAAGATGGACAAGGAATCAAGATAGCACGACGGTGTGTCCCACGTCGACTTGACGAAACTGGCCCGCGTGTCGAGACTTCGTAGCTTGACGGAACGTCGGAAATGAAGAGCGGTTTTGCACCTCGAATAGAAACACCACGACTGCGGGTTCGAGAGCGGGGTCGCACAGCGTACGATACGGACGGGCGACAAAGCCAACAAGTCTATTTTATGGCTCGCGTTACTGGCGGTCGAAGCGATGCAACCGGGTGCACAGCGCACGAAAACAAAGACGGTTATGACACGGTTCGCACTGCGTTAGAAACGGACGGGCGGAACACGTGGAATGTGGACGAGCAGGGCTCAAGTCACACAGATTCCTCGGACGAGCGACAAAGGTCGCTAAAACGTGACCGCAGACGGGTGGAACACGTGGTATGTGGACGAGCAGGGCTCAAGTCGCACAGATTCAACGGACGAACGACAAAGGTCGCTAAAACGCTGTCGGATTGCGACACGGACGGTCGAAACAATACGTCGAGTACGGAAAAGAAAACGCCGGAGCTCGGAAGCTGAAAATAAAACAAAAATGGCGTATACAAAAAAAAACGGCGGCAACGCACCGGGTCGTGAGAACGAAAAACAGGAACAATAATTTGCCTAGACGGCTGAAAAATGACAAAAACGGCGGTGGCGGGTATCGGCGACCAACGGCTAGACTGCGACAGTACTCGTCCCCTCCTCATAGGACAAAGTTCGGTTTGAGCATGGTGACAACATTGCCACAAATTCAGATCGCATGCAGCGCGCCGAATTTAAATTCTGATTGTGTATCCAACAATACCTATTGTAATTAGTTAAGGTGGCGACATAATCGTTTTTAAAATTTGTTTCTTGTCAACAAATGACTGCAGGTGTAATTGATTGGATTAGGATTTGAAGTTCGTGTAATTTACTATGATAGCCATTAATGTTCCGTTGTAGAATTTTATAGTTATGAGACATCATCGAAGTAGGTAGAGTTGTTGGGTTGTCTGAATAATAGGGCAATTAAGTTAATTGAATGGATTTCTAATGCCGTGATTTTCGTAATTAGATATTTCCTTATTGGATAATGCGTTGAAAAAACCTTGTGTATTCTTGTTAATCTGTTTTTACCGCTGAGAGAAGTTATTTTTGGTCTAATTAAATCGATTATTATGAGCATATTAGTAGGGCTGATATTGAAAGGTACGCATTCTTCACGAGGATTATTACTGTTTATGCAATTTTCTAAAAGTAATTGAAATTGGTCGTAGTTAATAGGTATCTCCTTAGTTACATTAAATACTGATTTGCACGGACTGAGATGTTCATCAATCTATGAAATGTTCGGCTGACGATTTAAGTTTTTTCTTTAGAATCGACATTGTAATATTTTCTTCTGTTTTTTTACTGTCTAGGTATCCGGTTACTTTTTTTTGTTATTGGTGAATTAAGTAATGTGGGTGATTGGGGGGGAGATGAGGTTGACGAAAATGTAGGCGGAGCTGGTCTTTTGATGCCACCGGTCAGAGATATTTCTTCCGAGGTGCTTTGAAGGCTTGTTAAATTCATCGTGGTAAGATTGTCATTTACGATTGAATTGCCAATAAAGCTGTCTGATATCGCGATATTTTCATTAAGGTCAGCTGTATGAGGTGATAGGTTAACAGTAGAGCTTAGTGTATGTTTATTGGTTCCATTATCGAGATCCGCAAGGAGGGGGGTCATGGGGGCATCGCCCGTTTCCGCCAAAAAACCAGTTCCCTAATTTAGGTATAGCCCTTTTCCGCCAAAAACGAAAAAGGTACGATTCCCGTTCAGCCAAAAGACATTTCCGCAAAAGAAAGTTTGGAAACCAATAGTATTAATTTTTAAAAAATATATATGTTGTTGTATATATAAAATAAAATAGTAATGTAAAAATGGGTACAACAATATATACAGCGATAATCTTCGATAATTGTTGATAATCGTCGATAACGGAAGGAAGTATACACTGTATCATAGTTTATTTATAATTCACACACAATAATTATCTGATAAATGTTAAATTTTTATATTTCGATTCAGTATCTGTTCTGTTCGTCAGTTTAACAACAGTTAATATGTTTTTTTAAATGGAATTTGTTGAAAGCAAAAGAGGTAAAAATATGTTGATATTTTATGGTTTTAAATATGTTTTTGGTTATACGTCACAAACAAATGTAACTCGGTGGAGATGTTTCATGAAAAATTGTCCGGCCAAAATTTTGGAAAAAGAAAAAGTAATACTTGAAACGAAAGGTACGTTTTCTATCTACGAGTAAAATAAATATATTCATTTAATTATTTACGAAAAATGAAATTAAGGTGGCTGGAGCGTGACATATTTTAAGGAGTAATATTTAGGCATTCCATATAGCATTTATATTTGATCCGTGTTAGTGTGTGAGAAGTAAATTGATGTTAGTATGTGTAATTCGTAAAATTCGTTATCGCGTTCTTGTGCCACCGGGCACAGACAGCTCACCGTCCGCATATCGACGACATTACGTATTCCCGGAACTGCGGCCCGCGATAATAATTAGCTTAAATACCTACTTTTTTAGAGCGCTTTCAGACGAGACACTTTGTGGCCGGCTACTTGTGTCTGAAAAGAATCGCGCGTCAAAGATAACATTGTTATAAATATATGCGTACACACGAGACACAGACACGGAATGTGTGTCGCGCCACTGAAGTTGTGTGTCCCGTCCCCTCTAGCCGCCAGACACTGTGTCTGCGTCCGAGCCACTGATAACAAATTAAATTAAATTAGTACGTTCAGACGAGACACTCGTATTCGAATAACCACTGAGTTGTGCAGTGTAGTTTCAGAAGTACGTATAAATTGATTTATTTAATACAATCATAACCAAAATTAAATTATATTATATTCTATTATAAGTATGAGTTTCGCCAGTTTTGATACCGATAAATTAATTGTCGAAATTGAACGTCGCCCTTCATTATGGGATACATCACACTCAGATTATGCAAATAAGATAATCAAACAAGAAAACTGGAACGATGTTTGTCGAATTTTTAAGGAAGGGTTTGATTCTATGGATGCAAGGGAGAAGGACAAATATGGTAAGTAGTTATATATTTTAACATAGCTGTCGGCTGTCATAATATAAATACAGTAGAACTTCCTACTTCAGATATATTTTACAATAGCTTAATATAGTACTACAATTGTCTATTTATAATTTATATTACCTTATTTTTAGTTTAAATTATAAATCGATATTTTATTCCTATTTATTATTTTTGTACTGTTTATCAGGGATTTAATTTGTATACGGTATATAACCTGGTAATAAATACTGACTCAAATATAATTATAAGTATATTTAGGTATCCAATTTATTTTAAGTTACCTACATCAGATATAATATATGTATATAATAATAAGTAAAAAATAAACCACAAACATGATATGGAGTAATTACTATTTCACATTAAACACTGTCATTTAAATTTAATTAAAGGTGCTATGACTACTATATTTTGTATTATAATTTACAAATACAATGGTATTTAATAATAAATTATTACACAAAATACTATTTTACTTATTTTAATTATTTCTTGATACTTTCGTATTGCCAAGGAACTTCTCCTGCGCCCATGAAATAGTCAGCGAAATCATCTCGTATATTCGTAGCTGCTTTTCCCGATGTATTATCTGGCGATCTGTCTTCATCTAAAAGTCCTTCGTAAAATAATGTGTCTTCAAATTCCAACGTATTTCCATCCCGAATACGAACGAAATTGTGTAAAATTACACATGCTTTAATAATGTCGTATGCGAATTCTTCAGACACGTTTAACGGTCTATGGAAGATTCTCCACTTATTTGAGAGAATCCCAAAAGTACATTCGATAAAACGTCGTGCCCTTGACAGTCTATAATTAAATACTTTTTTTTCGTAGATAAATGTCTTCCTCCGTAAGGTCTCATTACATTTTGAGATAAACAGGGCCGTCTTAAGGTTTTACGGGGCCCCGGGCCCAACATATTTCGGGGGCCTTACAATACCTATTACCTACTAAATTAGGGTATATAAATTTTTTAACACATAATGCATATTATTTATTAAATATTACACTTTATTAGTAAAAAGTGAATTTTTGTATAAATCTCTGTTACTTTATTCTTTATTTTACTTTCAAAATAAACGGTCAAAAAATACTTTCCTATTAATTATAACGTCAAGATATTAATTATTCATACATCAATATGTTTTATAGTTAAAAAATAAATGTAATTCATTAAACAAAAACTAATATAATTTTAAAAAAAACATGATATAAATTTGTCAATTATTAAATACTCTTTAATGGTTTCTTCCTAGCTTTTTCATTCGCAAAGTCTTCAATAACATTTTCATAATCTAAACTTGATAGTAGTTCATGTTCAATACTCATTAAAGATAGGGAGTTTAACCGTTTCTGGCTCATTGTACTTCTNTACTTCTAAGCTCTTCTTTAATTAAATTTAACTTAGAAAATGAACGTTCCCCACTGCAGTTGGTAATCATCATTGATAAAAAAATTCGGAAAGATATTATTATGTTTGGAAATGTTTCTTCTAGTCTATTTGATTTTAAACATTTGTATGTACTAGAAATACTGAATTCAGAAATATCAAGTTCCGATAGATACGCTTTTAAGTGTATACATTCTAAAATTAATTCATTTTCATTAATATCTACGTGATAAAATTCCGCAAATGTTTTACAATGGACTTGTACTTCTTTTGTCTCTAAATTTTTTAAATTAGAGAAAAATCCAAACAGTTTATTTATTGAATTGTATGATTTACCACGAATTTTTAACTGAGTTATTAATGTATCTATTATTGGGAAGTAAGTTTCTATTTTGAATTTTTCACTACCTGAAAACGATGTACTTTTGTTTGTCAGTTCACCGGGTAATGTTAAATGAATACTCCTCTTCTTAGTTCGTTGGTATAAATCTTTATAGTCAGAATCTGGAAATTTTTCTCTAGCGGAACTTTCATAACTATAAAAGTTATCTCTAATCTCACTTAGAAAACCAGCAAGAGAATCAAATAATTTTGAACCGACGTCAATAGTAAGGTTTTCTTTTTGTAAATTTTTGTTTGTTTCATTTATTCTTGATAAGATTTTACTCCAAATTTCAGTAAGAACAATATTTTCCAACTTTTTCATTTTCTTAATTAAGCCATGGGTTTCGTTTTTAACATTTGGTGAAGTCTTATCATCTATTTCAATTGTTTTTAGAGCATCTAAAATTTCCTTGTAACCATTACACAAAGAAGTAACAGCATCAGCTCGAGCAGACCATCTAGTTTCTGATAGTGACTTTAAAACATGATGTGAGCCTAGGCACTTTTTCATGATACTCCAACGATAGGTAGAACTCGAAAAAAAATTATACAATTTTTGTACAAATTGAAAATAACTTACTGCTTCCATAACACATTCTGCTGCACGAACCCCTACCAAGTTCAAAGAATGAGCTGACATATTGTCCTGACATATTTGCAGCATTGTCATACGACTGGCCACGACAGTTATTCAAACTAATCTGATTTTTTTCAAGAAAAGATAAAATAACTTTAAATAAATACTCAGATCCATGTTCATCAATAGGAATAAATTCCAAAAAACATTCAACTGGAGTATCATCATTAACATACCGAATAATGAATGTCATTTGATCAATATGAGAAAGATCAGGAGTGGAATCAACACTAATTGAATAATATTTAGCCACTTTTAATTCCGAAAGAATTGCATTTAGCACTTGTCTCCCCATTATGTTAATAAATTCATTACAAATATTAGCTGACAAATATGAAGGATTTCCTTTGCCTTGATTTCCATATTTATTTAAATGTTCTAAAAGAAATGGATCAAATTGGCTTATTAACTCTAAACAGCCCAAATAGTTCCCATTGTGTTGAGATCCAATTATTTGATTTTCTCCGCGAAACGCAATTCCTCGTGACGACAAAAATTTTATTACAGCAACAATTCTCTTTAATACTTCTTTCCAATAATTTACTTCTAAGTTTATTTGATAAGATATTTCTTGATCTATGCGACCATTATTTTTGGTCCTAACAGAAAAAGTCATGACAGATTCTCTGTGCATTAAGCTATTTTCATGCTCCAAGACAACCGTATGAACATGTTTCCAGTCATTAAATCCTTGTTCACAACTAAATCCAGTTTTTGTAGAAGAAAAGAGACGACATACAAAACAAAACAAAGCTTTTTTCGAGGGAGAATATAAAAGCCACGATCTATCGACATTTTCACCATTTTTTAGTTGACGAGTGAATATTGACTTGGTTAAGTGTCTCACTTTAATTTTACCATTTGATTCTGTATAATTTCGTGTGGAATTTAAAAAGTCACTATCTTTATTTTGAAAAAATTTGGAACCTTTTTTAATATACATATTTCGTTTTTCCTCAGTTAATGTATTCCAATTTCCGGGATCATTTGATACTAATGAATTGTCCTCAACTGTTTCTGGAGAATCAACGAAATATTTATTAGGGCTTAAAGTAGGATTTTGAGATACTTGTGATTGTTGGTTAATTATTATCGTTTCTTGGGATATTGGTAAAACTAAATTAGTTTATTCTTTGGGAGGAACAGAAGAAAAAAAATCTGTAAGCTTAGGTAAAGAATTTATGATTTTTTTTTCGTTGATTTCTTTTACGATTGCTCTCTGCCTATTTGAAGCACCACTAGGATATGAACGCTTTGACATTTTGAAATGACAATATTTTTGTCGATAGTTAGAACATCTGGAAAAAATACAGTCGTCTTCTACAAATATTCGATTCTGCTCTATCAATTTTAAACAGTAACTACTAGACCGTCTAGACCTACATGCTACATGACTACGTCATATGACAAATTAAATACCTATTTTATAATAATACTGAGGAAACAGTTTGTATCAAATTCGCAACATTTTTAATAAATTAAATAATAATTTAAAATAAACTCTCGTCTTGAGCGTATCGAATATATCATAGATAAAATAATAGGTACACAGGAACTGAATACGATTCACGGTCGGCAAATTGTCAATCACTGGTGATGTAGAAATAATAGAAAGAAAAACAATCGTTAAAAACCTAATATTTTTCACACAAACAGATTTAATTATTGAGGTTCAGCACCTCCATTTCGACAATCATTCTTACACAGTTACACATTGATTATTTTCTTCGTCATAAACGCATAATTAAGAACCGTTCTTAAATTGTTACTTTCTATTTAGTTGAGTGTGTAATTTATTAATTTATAATTATAATAACAAAGAAAATAATAAATATTAAGGTTAGTGTAAAGTTTACTTACGTAAGACAAATTTTTTTTGAATTAAAAATTAAACGCACACGAGCCAAAATGTAGATATTTATGTGGATTATCCGATTATATGTGTGTGTAATGTTCTATGAACTGCAGCTGTACAGTCAACAATGACGATTGACAACGGCGTCGACGCTACAGCTTATAAGATAAGATATTTCATATTATTTTATAAATAGCACTAGCAATACTTCTATGTGCTTCTACGTAAAACAAATCGAAATAACCGATAACGGCGATAACATAGCGCACGTAAAAATAATGTACGTGTAATGTGGACCAGAAATAACAATAAAATTTAGAAATTAATCAAATTGTATTATTTTGATACAAAGCTAATTTAAATATTTTTTCGTTCGAGATTTATATTAAAAACATTCAAAAAAATGTAAAATTATGATATTCGTAAATAATGTAATCTATGTGAATTTGGGGCCCCGGGCCCGGGCCCTACGGGCCCATGCCTTAAGACGGCACTGGAGATAAACCAAAAGCTTCGTCTCCTACAATAACAAACGGAAATTTTGATCCATTGCTCTGTGGTAGTAGAGTATTTTCTGGAATATTGAGTTCTTTTTTGAAAAGTTTCCGATAAAATGTAGAATTTTTGAAGATCGACGAGTCACTGTTTTTACCGTAATCTCCTATATATCCACTGCTGTAAAGCAATAATTTGCATCACACACAGCTAACAAAACGGTTGAAAAAAAATGTTTGTAGTTATAGTACAAGGATCCGCTATGTGCTGGCTTTACAATGCGAATATGCTTCCCGTCGATTGCCCCGATACAGTTAGGGAAATTTGTCACGTTCAAAAAAGTATCTGCAATTTTCAACCAATCTTCTTGTTTTGGTTCTGGCATATAAGTTATCCTTAAGTTTGTCCATATAGCTTTACACATTTCTCGAATAATAGAACTCAAAGTTGAAACACCAATTCTAAAACTGTAATGCAATTCTGTTAAAGTGCATCCCGTAGCAAGGTACCTAAAAAAATTTATTATTATATGAAATAATTTGAATAACGGATATCTTAATAAAAACATATCAATCCATCCTTATCTTGATATATTAATATATTATTATATATTATTTGAATATTATATTTTATTACAGTTCAAAATCTTCAACGAAAATGGAAAAGCCTTAGAAATTCATATGCCCGCGAACAGTCTAAAAGAAAGACAATGAAATCTGGATCAGGCAGTAAATCGTGGAAAACGTATGTTTATTACAACCAGTTGTCTTTTCTTTCGACGTGTGTTGGAAATAAACAAACTATATCAAATTTCAATGACAATGATGCTGAACAGTATGCTGATGCTGAATCCAACACAGATAATGAAGATAATGATAACATGAATGATTCTGGTGAAGAACACGCATATGAAAATACAATAACACAATCAAGGCAATCCAAAAAGACAAAAACACAAAATAAGGATTCAGAAAGTCAATTGCTTTTATCTATACAAAAAAGCTTAGAAAATCGAAATGAAATGACAAAATCAATGGATG